TGTGCAGGGGGAAGTTCAGCCCGGCTATCACCGAATCCAAGTGGACCACCACATAGCCGGGCAGATGGCGCATGGGGTTCCGCAGACGCCGATCGTCGTAGACCCTTGGGGGGTAAAACCATTGACTGATCAGTCGCTTATCAGCATTCGTCAGGCGTTGAACTTGACGCCGAATGCACGAGAAGCTGAGGCTATAACGGGGAGGCCGGGGCGGCATTCCCCGCTCATAAAATTCCAAGTCCTCACCAGAGGAACAGCCATCGTCAAAGCGATTTTCAGAAGACATGACACGGGCGGTACCTATGCCTGCCCCGGAGAGTGCCTCGAAGGTCAGATATCCGGCTATGGGACGGACGCCGCCCTCCAACACCTTCCCCACGTCCAAAAGCAGATCGTCGGTCGGCTCCGGTGATTCAATCTTTGGGGGATAGCCATTCCACCGAAGGGGGAGAGGAGGCCCGTCGTATCGAAGGAAGAAGAAGCGGTTCTTCCAGTCGTGGATGGACGAAGGGTAGCTCTTGAACAACCGTCTCCCAGGACGTGCGGCCACGCTCAGATACCCGTCGGCATTCTGGGGAGTGACGCGGTAGAAATAGTGGAAAAGCTCCAGAGTGGCATCGACTCCCGCAAGTTTGCAGCGCACCATGAAGGCCGATATGAACCTATAAGAATTTGGCATGAATTGCGCCGGGGCCACCTGGAAACAATGGAAGAACTCCACATAGAACGCATGAAGTGGAAACCGCAGCCCGGCTTCAACGGAATCCAGGTGAAGCATGATCATCCCCGGGCGTCGCCTCATCACGTGCTCGGCGCCTCTCACGCTCCAGACGAACGGCGGGGGGAAGAAAGTACGGATTTTGTTGAGGGCCACGCGGGAGAGGACTTGGTCGTGGTCAAGGGCGCTCCTGATCGGGCAGATGTGGCGCTCCATATCCGTAGGGATGCCCAAATCATACACCTCCATATCACAGCCGGATTCGGCCTCCTCTCCAGAATCGTAATCAGCGGGACGCTCGTTCAGGGGGACTGCGTCAATGACATCTACTGCCCCGTCAGCATCCCCATCCCTGGCGCCGCTCCCACTACCTTGGGAAGCGCCATCCGGCTCACCATCAGCCCGGATGGTTCCCACCGTCGTGGCCGAACCCGAAGTTCCGGAAACGCTAGCTTTTCCCAGGGAGCGCGCATTCGCATTGTCAGAAGAGGAACCTGAAGAGGAACCTGATGAACTGGAGCCAGAGCTTGACGAAATCTCCATCGAAGTCATTTCAGCTAGGAATCAGAACAAAGAGAAGAAGCAGAGGGGGGAAATTACCTTACAAGGGGGTTAGCCGAATTCGGAAGCGGGGAAGAAGACTTGAAGGGCTGCGGAAAGTCGAAAGCAAGAGAGCAGAGATTGGGAACCCTAATTCAGAGGGAAAACCCGGCATTTATAGGAGAAACACCGATGGGGAAACCAACGAGGGGTTGACACGTGGCAAGGAGCGTATTCCGACCCACGCGCTGTGCGTGGGGCGAAAGCATAATGATGACATTTCCTCGGGAACTGCTCCGCCGCAACATCAGCCGTCACCTCGTTTCCTGAACCGTCGACAGCTGTCAAGCACCATGACCACGAGCGTACGCTTCCAACGGGTGCAGAAAACACAAGTATCAAGACGCGAACGTCTACCTTGAGGGGATTCCTACTTCCTTATGTCCTGCGTGAGCCCAGAACATCAGAAGTGGGGGACTTGTGTTGGGTTAAGGGCCCAAGCCGAGGTCCGGCCCACTAACCCATATTGCCAGACGCACGTCCAGTTAGAACACCAGGCCAGCCCACAGGCCCATGTCCCTTGAGGATGGACGAACGTCTGGTGTTGGGGGCTCAGGCCCAGCGACTCATCCCTACGAACGTCTGTGCAGGGACAAGGAGCAGGGCCACGGGATGGCGACGAACGTCTCTGGGGCAAGCCTGTGGTCATCGGAGGAAACCCAGCCCACATGGTGAATGTCTACAAGGCCAGGAGACGAACAGCCGGTATCTCCTGAGGGTCACTTGGGGCGATCCAACTCACTTCCCGGGCGGACGAACGTCCCCACTGATTGGGCGGGAAACCCAGATTCTGGCGGGAAGTGCATTTAATGCTGAAGATTTGGTGGTTGGGACACAAGCGGTCCACAGGCTTCCACGTCAGCATGGCTACCTGCCCATTGGCGGGTATAAATAGAAGCATTTATTTCATTGTAAAGGGTTGGCAACTTTCTATTCTTAGCATACTAGCTTCAGCATTCTTACTCGCAGCATTTCTAACTGCCTTGTAAGACGAACGGCCGACGTGCCCTTTTTAGCAAGTAGATTGTACTTAGGGGAGTTATTACGAAGTTAATAATACCTATTTACATTGCCTGCTATTACTCTTGTTTCCTGATCCATCTGATAGCTGTTGAGCTAGATATTTATATACTCACTCCACTCGAAATCTTTGGGCTTACGTGTTGGGTCCAAGGGTTGAAGGAATAAACCTCAACAGTATGTTACTGTATGTTATGGATCACCTCAAGGAGTGAGTTAAAAATTCTTATGGGTGATGAAGAGGGCTGTACTACAATCATCACTAATAATGTGGTCTATAAAGTAGTTTTTCAAAATCTGAATCTTTTTTTAACATTGTCTAACACATATGATTGTTCTGTTTTATAAAGTTTTATGACACCCCCCAATAATTATACTACCAAGTTATATAATTGTCATACAGAGCTTTTTTTATACCTTATCATTTACTTTTATTTTACTTGCAAGTTGCAATTTATCTTACGATCCACATTTTCATTTTCTTACAGCTACTACAACATGTATAATAAAAGTTAAAACATAAATTTTATTGTCTTCTTTTATTTTACAATATTACAAATTATGCACCTTTGTAAAACGTAATTTTATATAAGTTACTATTCAGTTTTAGATATATCCCGTGCATCTCATGGGTACTTCGTCTAGTGATGACATGTTAAAAGAGCAATTTTAATTTTTATCGGAACTTTACGTGTAAACTTATTTTTTGAGTCAAACAATGTATTTATTTTGCATGTATTTTTAAAACATATTGCATATGTCATCAAGCAATGTATTTGTCTTTTACGTGTAAAATGATTGTATCCCTACACTTTACATGCAATCCATTTACAGTAAAGTTTTAATGTGCAATTAACCAAATGTCCCCTAAGTCCAAGGGTAGCAAGAAAGCATTAAAACCCCAATGAGACCATTGGCTCCACATCTCAAAGCACAAATAATAATGGAAACTCTACTAATACTCCTCATCCTCGTCTTCATCTTCACCACCCCAACTTCCACGTGATCCTTCTCTAGCTTAGGGCGGCCAAGTCCTCTCTTGCCTCAGAGAACTCTCCTTCCTCCATACACTTCACCATCATGGAAGAAGGCTCAAAAGTAGTGTTTGTGATCTCAGAAACAGAGTTGCTCATGGTAGCGGCATTTTCAGGAGGGGATAACCGGGGCGTATGAAGAAATCATGAAGTGTGGAACTCATTCACATCCACGTTTAAAGCTCCACTAAAACGGAGGGAAGCTGTAAGCGAAGAAATTGTTAGGGGTTTGACTTCTTCACTTGTTCCTGACAGTTGAACTTTGGCCGACGGGAACACGATGGTTGTCCGGCTAAGAGCTTCTCCACCTATCTCCGGCGGTTTGCGGCGGCAAGGGAGTTCCTGGGTATCATCTACTTTAGTTCTTCCATAGTAGCACCTTGTTCTATTCATATTACCGCAGGCCCAAAGCACTAGTGCTGGCTAACACAAAGAAAAACCTGCAAAGCATAACAACAAGAAACACTGTGGCTCGAGTCGTGTAAACGCTGTCCTCTGAAAGTATTTTCGGTGAACGGAAATCTTCCCCCAGGATAAAACGAGCCCTTTGACAAATAGTCGGAACCAGAACTACGAGGGAAATCATAATTATAATCCAGCAAAAAACTTTTAGGAAAAATCATTTTCATCAAATGCTTTTGAGAAGATCAAGTTGCAGAGAAGTGGTTATCCCGTAGAAGACTTCGTATATCCGGAGTACTACTTAGTGCCTCTGCTGGGTTTTTATCCTATTAATAAGAAGCACATAGATGACCAAATAATGGTAAAAAAGAGCCAATCCCTTATTTGCTAATGTTGTTTCTCCATTTGGGCTAATGATCATGTCTCGATTATCATAGCTTTTAAAGAAGCTGCCTGTTAGTCAACTGCACCATGATTGTCAAAAGTTTGTTCCAAAAGTTGCTCGGGCTTTAAAAGCAGACAATGATATCAATTCCATTTATCATACTATGATTATAATTAGGAGGGTGTATTGGAAGAAATATCAAATGGAAATTCTAGATTTCAATTAGTCATTTGGCTTAGATAACTTAATATCGAGTAGTGTGAGTAAGGCAGATTTAACATACTAAGTGAGAAGAAAGCAAGTAAAGTAGGCTATAAGAAAATATTAGATACTAATTAGTCTATTTTTGGGAGAAATAGACTTCTTGGCTCTCTCAAAAACATTAGAAACAAAGTTGGAAATCTGATTTAAGCAAGTAAAATATGCAAATAGGCAAAAATCAATAGTTATGGAAGAAGAAAATATGATCGTGTAAAGAAGACACAATTAGGAAGTATGATATAAAATTATAGGCATAAAAAAACTGCATTGATAACATATTAACATGTCATTTCTATTACACCTTTTCTTCTAATTTTTTAATACTTTAAAAATAAACCATTTATAAATATACCATTTATCAAACAGAGCAGACCATTGTATTGCTATAATCTTCCCGAAAGATGGCATGGTGGTGGGATGGATGAGTTCTTCTTCCCAATTTCAGGTTTATTCGTATTTTTAAACTTTATTTTATTCAATGTTATTGGTACTCAATATCTTAGAAGATTAGAATAAGAGTAAATTGAGCTTTACCAACATGTTTACAGATGTATTATGAGCAAGTAGGTATACCACAAGCATTTCTTCCCGATCCCCCAACACAGTGATATTGTTTTAATGACGTGCCATGGGGGATGCAAATGGAAGGTGAATTTTGGTAAGCTCCAGTTTCCAAAGCTCACATGAAAACAACATTGGTATAACCACAACCTGGTTAACAGTGAAACCTTTGGGTGCCCCTGCTTGTGATGTTCCTACTGAGTTTGATGCCCCTTGTGTGAAAGAGTTTGATGCCCCTTGTGTGAAACCAAATGATGCCCAGGTTAATGTATCTGTTGATAAACTTGTTACTATCCCATTTACTATCCAAGTAATTAATGCTTCTGTAAGTGCCAGACCTGAAGTTGATATGCTTGTGAATCTGTGAAGAAGCAATGATATTTTTGCATCAGACAGTGAAGGCAATGAATCGAGAATACAGTCAGTGGAAGGTATTAGTTTTCAAACTTTAATTCCATGGTATACATGGATGATGGAAACTACGTGTCATGTAAAATTCATCTTTCCTTCTAATTAACCATCACCTTCTTTACTCTTAAACTTAAATCTCCTTCTAAATAACTACCGTGTTCCTTGCTCTTCAACTTATCTTTCCTTTCTAATGTTTTTTCTCTTTCTTTTTACTCTATTTTTTGCAGGTGCATTCCTTATAATTTAGAAATCCGGGGAAAATGGCCATTACATCCGTGAGGAAGTTGTTCAGGTAGTTTAGAATGAAGGATATATGATTCAGAATACTTACATCCCTTGTTTTTAGATATCTGCTGCATGTTTTATAATTCTAACTTCTCTTTTTCTTTAATATGCCACCCAAAAAAGTAGGATCAAATTCCACTTTGATCCCCCAACTTAATCACCATGATTCCTTTGCGATGGATGCCATGATATTTTAATTAGCTCCGGGATCTTTCTTCACGTTAGTATTTAAGGCATATGTTCAATATGCCTCCAAATGTAAAATTAAAAGGTGAAATATTTCAATGGAGTAAATCAAAAGTGACATCCAGATGTATGTCCACAATTACCCTTTGTAATATGCCCAAATAGGACCTAAGTTACTTAGTATAACCAAATAATAAGCTTAGAAAGTTTCAATTTCTGATAATGTAACCCTTCACATGCTAACCCCAGGAGATTTCTACTATTCAAACAAATATCATGGAAGCGGTTGAATCCAAGAGGTTGATATTTTACGCTTTTAGTATTTGGTTTTCAGCTTTGAAATGGAGGCATTTCCATAGACCTGGGGTGATGTTGATCATGTAGATAACATGTTAGGTTCTTCTTATTACATAAGCCCTTGAATTAGGGGTTGCTGATGAACTTGATTCAGTATAAATGTATCAAAAGAAGGAAATGGGATGAACTATCCCAAGAAGTTCTGATTTTATGCGCTAGCCTTTGAATAGACAATTAAGACTTGTTGTTTCCTAAAAGGTTATCCATATCTTACTGCATATATAAAAGGCCAATGAAGGTTTGTTGGCCTATTACCGTTGCTACAGTCCCTAACTTTCTGCCTCGGTTTATTGCCTTTCGTTAGATGATGAGTTGGCATCTTTCGCGCCTCAGTATACACCCGTGACCCGACCTACTTTTTAGTTTAATTATTCTCAATTTCAATATACTTTTCTGCTAACTTTCAAGATAAAGAATTTTCATGGTGAGGTAGGAACGATTTACTCAGAAATCATGACTTGGTTAAATCTGGATTTCGGTTAGAAATTACTAATAAACGAATAATGTATTTACTTGAGGCCCTGGCATTATTATTGATGACTTGAACAGTCCATCGATTCTTCAAATTGATGGTTATTTATGTATTGAAGTATCACATGATTAAAATACAATATCTATTTCATTTCAATCTGTTATTGCTCTCCGTTTTATAGAATCACATTCATTTTACTGGCAGACTCTAGGCTCACCTGTTTGCGACTCCAGTAAGAAGAAGACAGATAAGAGTTATTCGGGTACGGCCAGCAGTTTTTTCAACTATTTTCCTTGACAAGGGTGGACAGCGAGAAGACTACTTGGTTAATTGATACTTTTGTAATACATTTGTGCAGTTTTTTTATAAAGTACAGTTTTCTCTCTTTACCGAACATTGGGCCTGATCGTCGCGCAACGCGCGTCCCACGCTAGTGTATATACTATACATAATATTTGTATAGGGTTTAGGGTATATGAGTTGAAAACATGATGTAAAATTGTATTTTAGGTACATATATAATACGATAGTAATTATTAGAGATATATTAATTAATACTCCTTCCGTCCCATTAGAAGGTTCCCACTTTCCTTTTTTGGACGTCCCGTTAGAAGGTTCTCATTTCCATTTTAGGAAACGATTAACAATCTTAAGTGACAAATTGGTCATTAAATATTACAGATAATACATTTATAACATCACAATTATCAATACTAACACATTATAATATATACCTATTAAAATTATTTCTCAAAATATACCCGAAGTACTTTATTTAATTATCACCTAAATAACCGTGTCATTTTGCTATGGAAACCTTCTAGCTAGGGGTGGACTTGGGTCGGGCCAACCGGCCCGGAACCGGACCGGCTCGCTACTGTGCGGGCCCGGACCGGCCCGGTCACCCGGTTCTTTACCGGTTCGGGCCACCCGGCCCGGTGGTATAGCGGTCCGGGCCCGGGCCTCCATTTTAGAGAACCGGCCCGGCCGGGCCGGGCCCGGTTCGGGCCTCCAACGGCCAAATTTTTTAATTTTTTTTTTTTTTTAATTTTGAAGAGGCTCCTAGCCGTTGGGAAGGCTCCCAAACGGCTCTATAGCCGTTGGGAGCATAGGAGGGGGGGTCTGGGGGGTTAGGGGGTGGGGTGGGGTGGGGGTGGGGTATAAAAAAAATCTATTTAAACTCCTATTTTCTCTACATTTTTTACACCTCTTCTTCTACAACTCTTCCTACTCTCTAATTCTCTACTCTAAATCTCTCATATTCAATCATCTTCATTCTTCATCTTCTCCAAATTCTTTCTACATATATATAATTTATATAATTATTATATCTACTTATATATTAATTATCTATTTATAAATATATACTTATACACATTCATATTATAATTCTTTACACATTATATATACTATATAAGTATATATACTATACACATTCATATTCACTTGATATTTAGTTATTATCCATACTATTGTTATTTACTTATATTTACATATTACATTTAGTTAATATATACTTATATATATGTATATATTAAAGTATTAAGTATAAATGTATTACTCATCTTATAGTAATATACTTATATATTATATACTATAAACATTATATTATATATTACTTATAATAGTAGTTAATTGTTAGACTTCTCATTTATCTATTAAATTAGTTAATTGTTACATTTCTCTACATTTCTCTTTAAAGAAAAAAATAGTTAAAGTAGTATATTTTTACATTTGTCATATTTCAATTAGTTAAAGTACTTAATTGTTTCATTTGTCATATTAAAATTAGTTATTTCATACATTGCTCATTAAAGTAAAAAAAACTAGTTAAGTGTTACATTTGTCATAATAATATTAGTTAAACTACTTAATTGGTACATTTCTCATATTAATATTAGTTAGTTGCTACATTTCTCATTAAAGTAAAAAAAGTAGTACATTTTTACATTTGTCATATTAATATTAGTTAAAGTATACATTTCTCATTAAGGTAAAAATAACTAGTAAATTTTTACATTTGTCATTTTAAAAACTAGCTAAAGTAGTTAATTGTTAAATTTGTCATATTAATATTAGTTCGAATTTGCAATAGTTTTCTTAGTCACTTTTTATTATTACTATTGTACTCATATAAAATATTTGATATCATTTAATATTTGTTCAATTTTAAAGATGGAACGTGGTAGACATTCTGTAGATGTGGGTAATCTCCAACGCAACCGCAATAGGGAGATTGCGTCGACTCGTCCTACTTCACGCAAAGGCAAAGGTAAAGCGCGGGCCGAGTCTTCTTTTCAAAGTCGAGATGATTTTGAAACGGATTACCAACGGAGAGATGATATGATCATGATGTCCGACGAGCATCTACAAAACCTATTGTCCCAAAACGATCCACGCTTTGCACAAGAACAACCCATTCCGACAACCATTGATGAAGAGGAGCTCGAGGATGACGATGCGGAGGAGGACGCGGGGGGCGACGGGACTCACCGCACCCCGGATGATGAGCAAGACTTGGAGGACGAGGGCGGTTCAACCCAAACTGGTAAGAAATCTAAATCTTCTATTATTGAAAACAATTTTACAAAAAGGAAAGACAAAAATACCGAAAAATGGTACGCAAGTTGCAATCATTGCGGCAAAGAGTATGGCTTGGGAACTTCTGGCGGATACGGGAGTCTCACAAGGCATCTTAAGTCCGCCCATCTTGTGGAGTATGCGAAAATAGACAAGGGCAAGGGGAAGCAAACACAAATATCGAGGTTTGCAAATTCTCAACCCTTTGGTAATTTCTCCTATGATGATCAAAAACATTTGACTGGTATGTCTCATTTAATTGTTGAAGAAAATTTACCCTATATTTTTTCCGAAAGTCTTGCTTTAAGAGATTATGCTCAAGGCACTTTAAATCCTCAATTTAGAAATTATAGTCGCAAAACGATTAAAAAAGAAGTTATAAGGCAATATAACTTCGAAAAAGAAAATTTACAAACATTTTTCGCAAACTTTAATGGACGTGTTAGTATTTGTAGCGATATATGGGAGGATACTTATCATCATTTATATTATTTGGGTCTTACTGCACATTATATTGATGATGATTGGAATATACATAAACGTGTTCTTGCTTTTCGTGAATTCAATGATCGTCATACTGCTGATAATATTTATATTCTCATTGAGCGTATTTTAATTGAGTATAATTTGCTTGATAAGGTGTTTGCTGTCAGTTTTGATAATGCTAGTAATAATACTGCTGCTATACCTAGATTGCGTGAATTGTGTGGTGCTTCTACATTGATGGGTAGGTTTTTTCATCAACGTTGTGCATGTCATATTCTAAATTTGTGTGTACAAGATGGATTAGCGGCATTAGGAAATGCTTTGGAGGTAGTCAAGGGGGGAATTAAATTGATTTGGGCTAACACTCCACTAAAAATGCAATGGCGGCAATATTTGAAGGAAAGACGTGTCAATTATTGTGCTTTTCCTAAAGATTTGTCTATTCGTTGGAATAGTACTTATAACTTAATTCAAGTACTTATTAGATATAAAGATCATTTTCCTGCTTTTTTAAGGCAAACTTGTAACTATATTATAAACCCGGCTGACATCGACACTTGTGAAAAAATTGTTAATGTTTTGGTATATTTTAATAACGCAACTCAAACTTTTAGTCATGTTTATAAACCTACCGCAAACGAATTTTTTGTTGAAGC